GATATTGTTCTGTTTATCTCAAAATGTACATTGTACACTTGCATATAGGGGAGGCACGATTTCATACAGGAGTGTGCAATACATAGACCTTCTGTGATTTGGGTAGCGTTTTTCAGTGAACACACAGCAAATACATGTATTTCACTTGAGAGAGAAAGTTCCTTGTGCTTGTGTTTGACACTGATATCTGAAAGCTTGGTTCCCTTCATCAGATACGCCAGTTAAGTGTTCGCACCCTCTAAACCCAAAAGTGTCTGTGTAGAAAATACTGCAGTACCTGATTGCTTTCCAAGTTGAAGGTCTCCAAAATACAAATCGCTTGAAAGCTTGACATTTTGCTTTGTCATTTTGACCACAGTTCCACCCACATAGGTTTATGAACACAGGCAATTTCTATTTCATTTGTATAAATGTGAAATTTGGAACTGCGCTTCCTGTGCTGCGGTGCACGTAGGCATATGTGGCTCAGACAGAATGACCTAGTACAAACATCAGCCAATATAGGTTTTGTAGGTTATTTTAATCTGTAAATACCAGACTACCATAAACCACACAGTGATTTCTTGTCATAACACAAAGGAGTTTTAAACATTCTGGCAAATGCTGCACGAAGTATAGGGAATTTGCATGTATACTTGTCCGGATGCTTCGTTCCCGTAGAGTTTGTACATGTACAAACAGATATGAGTAGGCTTGAACTGCAGTAGGTTGTGGAGACTGAGTGTGTGGGGAAACCCTCAGGCAGACGTTGGCTATGGCTGATGAACGTTGTAGCAAATAACACTCCACGACATTGTCTCCGAGTCTCCAAAAAGTAACAGTGTGATGAGAAATGCCACAGATTTTCAACAAATGACCACCTTTTAAAAATGGTTGTGATACGTACGTACATGTATCTTGTCAGACTGAAAGGTCAGTGGCTTCATCTGAAACGATTACCATATATGTACCTGGGACAAGTTCCTCATTAATACTGTTGGCAAGTGGTTCAATCCAACATACACAATTTGTTCGAAAGGTGTTATGAATGATACATTTCACATTCTCCATTGTAGCTGTCATCATTCCAGAGCGGCAGACCATCACCGTGAGCACAGGAGAATCTCTCACGCTTTCAGTCACCACTACGTTGTCTACGCCCCCAAACTATAAATGGAGAAGGACGTCAGCTACGCCTTATTTTAGTGGTTGGCTAGATAACTGGGATGGTGCCCACTCTCCCACTGTAAATTCTGTCACAACAGCTGATGGGGGTGTGTATGAGTGCCATGTACCCCGGCAAAGAGCAGAAGGGCGCCACGCTATCATCAGAGTTATTGTCAGAGGTACATGTACATGCTATATTTGCAAACATGATTGTTAATCTGTGCACGGTAACAATAAAACTGTAACACAATTTTTCATTTTTATGTTAGTTTTATTTATAAAAATTTGCTAGAAAACAGTGTCACTTCTCCAACATAATAGTCTCTGTGAGTGCAAGCATGAATTCATGTCACTTCATGCTGACAAAAGTTAGTAGGTGATTGACATTTCACTGTAATTTCTACTGTGGTTTTCACTGTTCTAGAGCATGTGGGTTTATGTACAATCAAAAGAAAACCGGGCTCTTGCAGCATGGGCTATTTTGCCTTACATGCATGTCCTAGGGTGGACCTCCAAAGAAAAGAAATCAATGTTTAATAGGGTTAGAAGATGTTTGTAGATTCATGCAGGTCCATACAATGTTTGCCCCATTCTGTAAAACAGTTCAGAATTTTGGAGGTGATATGTGTTTGGTGGGAAAGCACAGGGGAACAGTCAAGAAAATGATTAAAAATTCACCTTAAAGGACTTACCAGTATCATATTTGGAGAAAATGAGCATTATCTTTAGGTTTTTTTAACCACGATAAATCAAAGGAAAGTCATTGCTACATGTAGGTATATGACGCAAGCTTGCAGTTTGTATGTGTGGGTAGGCATTCACTGCGTTAAGGGGACAAGTTCTTTTGTGAGGGAAATTTGAACCGAGTTGTGGGGACATTTCTGAGTCCCCACAACGTTTTCGGTCTCCACAAAATAGGTGAAATGTCGAGTGTATGTCCCCACAACTACGGCGCGGGAGTGTGTGAACATGCAGTGTGTTCCAAGCATGTACTCACAAGTAGCCAATACGGGTATCTTCACAGTTTCTGCGTTATGTCCGTAACGTTACACAACAACACACAACAGGTTATTCTGGTGCCATGTATAGATTGATTGTTCTGCATTCAGGATCTAAGTTTGCCACTGTAACAATCACTGTAATTTTCTCTCTAGAGTGCCCCAGTAACATGTGGGGACCTTCTGATGGCTGTCAGAACCCATGCCCAGTATGTTACAATGGCGGCATGTGCCATGATGTCATCGGGGAATGTATCTGCGCTCCAGGCTTCAGTGGCTCTCACTGTCAAATCGGTTAGTTTCGGGGACTGTCCCAAAACTTTTGGACCCATCCTGTTCCCCTCAGAGTGCTTTATTTTTTTAAAACTTGTTCCCTAGCAACGGCAAGTTTTTTTACTTATGTACATGTAAGTGCGTTAGCCAGCGTTCCTCCTAAAAGAAAAACCTTAATGCTGTCAGGTTGATTCTAATGGGAGAAGCCCACGTGTACATCGTATATTTTGTATTTACAATGATGGTATTCTCAGTGAAAGTTACAATGGGTATTCCAGGTTTAAAATGTAACCTGACAAGTTGAATCATGATATTAAATAACATATACATGTACTTGTAAATGCTATCTGGAGGAAGAGACCTTCATACCACTTTTAATTTTATTTTTCAGGTCAATTACGTCATGAACAAAGTGGGTATTTACAGAAGGCTGAGAAAAAAGCATCAATGGATTCAGCTGAAACAGTTGAAATCTTTCAGTTTGGACCACTGTGTGTGTGTGTGTGCATGTGTGCATATGCACTTCAGTGGAGGAGAATTTGAATTTAAAATCTTGATGACTGCACATGATTTGTCAAAGTCAAGTATACTCTTCAGCCCAGTCTTGATATCCCCTGCTTGGGTCTGGGTGTTCTAAATTTTATCATAATGCAAAAAATATTATTTCAGTTCATTGAAAAGCTACACAGATTTGGATTTTGTAGGCATCATTCCAAAAGGGTCCCATTCAAGATACATATACTGGGATAAGGTAGCAAAGGTAAAGATTGGAGAACATTCATCTGTCTTCCTCACCCATTGTTATATGTCTGTCCGCAGCAAATGGAAGGAATGCATTTGGCCTGAATGGCACAGTGGCGTGTGCAACAGCTGAGGATCGTCACAGTACGGCATGCCAAGGAAAACTGTTCTGCCTTCAAGATCCATTTGGCTGCATCTGCGCGGCCGGCTACAAGGGAATTGGCTGTAATCAGGGTAAGATACAGATGGCATGGTTCACAGGACTAAAGAATAGTTGTTGAACTAAAGTGTAAGAACTCTCATTGGATAGGGGAGCTTGCAGTTGGCAGTATGCATGACCCACAATACTCACAGAATCATTTGCCATTCACTAATTGAATATTTGTGGAATTCCCAGATCAATCAATAGACGCTTATTTCCATATTGGTGAAGATCAGAAAAAGTAAACAATTACAGTTCAAATATATAAATTGAGAGATAATTATAGAGTAACAGATGAAGTCAGAGAAAGCCAAAATCGTAATTCACAAGTATGCAGTCAGGATTTGAAAAGTTGGAATGATTCTAGATGTTTTCCATTTTACCATTCAAGGTTTAGAGAAGGCAGTTTTATTTCAAAAGTTTGATAAGCTTGCTTTGAATGGCTGGATGATATTGGGCCTTATATGTAAATTTGATTCAATGCATTATCTTGATTAACTGATCATTTACTAATTGTTTTTTTAGAGTGTGATGAATCAAACACTTTTGGACCATACTGCTCACAAACCTGCCACTGCGCAGACGGCATCACTTGTTTGAAGGACACCGGTGAATGCAACGATCCATCGTGTACTGACGAATACTGCCCTCAACTTTGCGCCCCGGGATGGAAGGGAAAGAATTGCCAAGGTAGGGCTTTGCGTCGCAGTTACATCTGCTCTGTCATGTCTGTGCTGACATGTGGGGGCGCTATTCTGAGCCCAGCAAACAGAAACTGTCAATTTTGGTTTTTCCCTACTCCACTTCATATTTGTAGCCTCTGGATAATTTCTGCCATCAAAGTCTGTGAAAGGATTCGTCAGAGACTCTTATTTAATGAAACCACAGGCTGTTCCTCCTGCAACCCCTCTTGGTGCATACTTTCTGTGACTCCTTTAGCCAATGCACTGTGTACGCAGTAGGCTTTCAATGAATGTACTCCAGTACTTGGACATGAATGACACCTGCGCATGTACATTATGTCTGAGGCAGGTATGGGCAGACAGTTATCTTGCACTCTCTGCACGGACAAGGGAGCTAATTAATTGACCATCCTCAGGATGATACTGTGTACTTTAATATTTGTTCATTTATTTATTCCGTTTCTTTACCCAGGGTATGCCCAAACAGTTGCAAACTGGTTTCCATTGGGGCCCTGCGATCATGACAAGTTAATAAAATTGTTAGAAACTCACAACGAAAAGTAAAATTGACAAATATGACAAACATTAATATTTACAATTACTGACCACTAACATATCATACACGTGCGAACATTTAAATTAAATAGTGATCACGGGATGGGCAAAAACCCCGTCAAAAACCCTATGGGAAAAAAGAACACCCGGGGAAATTCCCGATCCGGCTCCAGTGAACATTGGCAACCAAGTTAACAACTCCATAGATCAGCATTTTGGACTACATGGCACTGGTCGTGGCTTTCCATAATTCTGATTCTGATTTGAATGTCCCTTAGGAGTCTATACTTCTGTTTATTTGCACGAGTCGGCTTTACACAAGAGTGTTTTAAACGAACCTATAAAAACTCTGCTTTTGTGCCAAGCTCACAGCCCCAGTGGCTGTCCTTTGTTGCCCAATGTTGTTCCAAGTATTTCCATTGTATATATAGATGCTTATCCTTTTTTGCAGTTGGACTCAACCAGAATTGCCGTATAGAGTTGTCTGTCTGTGCTTCTTGCATACTTTCCTTTCATGACTTTGTATTTTTCCCTTGTATTATAGTTCAGACACCATGTGCTCTTGGTTATTATGGCGAGCTCTGTCTGGACAGATGCAATTGCCGTGACAACGAAGCATGTGATGAGGAAACAGGAGTGTGCAGCCGTGGCTGTGCTGACGGTTACAGAGGAGCAGCATGTGATCAAGGTGAGCAAGTTGGCCCTGTGCCAAGTGGCTCTGCCTAATCTGCATATTTAAATCCAGACAGTTTTTGATGAGATATTGTCCTTGCCCTGGTTTTGGTACTTGGCCAAAGACTGCCCTCCTTCAGATTGACATGTGCACCCTGGGCACCAGAGTTACGTTACACAGACTTCATGGGCAGAATTGCTAGTGTTTTCCTTGGAATGTCAACAGGACAGGTGTAATCATTCCAGAGGCTGTTTTGTACCAATCCTGTATTTGCCTTGAGTTTTAGAATTCCTCCAATTATTCGTTACGTTTCCAGGCATATTGTAACTTCAAATGTTCCGCCACTTTTGAAAAGTTTCTTCCAACCTTATATCTCAGAACCTATGAGGATTGTGTACGTTTGATTCTTTGTTACTGGTTACGTGAATTGCGAGGAATCAGAATTTCAAGATGTACTTTGCGTTGGGGAAATGTTGATTTTAATTGCAGATTTTTGCCCTTACCAAACATACATATACATATACATGTACATTCACGGACACTGTATGCTCCTCGTTTGTCCGAGAGCAAGTGAAAAAATTAACATCTCCCCAACGCTAAGTACACCTTGAAATGGTTTGCGGTACCCACTGTTACATCTGACTTGTATCGGCCGGCTAATCCTGGCAAGCTCTGTGGCCGAGTGGTTAGAACATCTTCTCTAGTAAGCAGAAGGTCGTTGGTTCGAGTCACACCTGAGTATGCTTGTGAATTTTTTCAAAAGCTCTCGGACAAGCCCTGAGTATACAGTGTTTATAAATATATATGTCAGGTAAGGGTAAAAACCTGTCATTAAAATTCAGTAATCAGGACACCAGCATGTTGTTAGGACTTCATTATTGTTACAGGAGAATTGTCTGTTAAAAAAAAAGATGTTGACAGTTACTGCTTTTCTTTTGTTTTGTTTTTGGTTTAGATGGAAGTAGAGCTATTGCCTATTTTGGGCAAATCGGAAAGCCCAATGCAGGTCAGCCAGTCACGGTCCGCTGTGAGGCAATGGGGAACCCCCTCCCTAGAGCCAGTGATGTCATATTACAGGACAGAGTCGGTCAACGAATTAGACCAGATCGATCGTTGGAATCTTCTGAACTGAATGACTACAAACGAATCAGTGAATACATTTTGACAGCTGAAGGGTCAGTCTCTGGGAGAGAGTTGACTTGTTACGTTCACCTATCAGGATCCAACTATCTCACTGAATCGTTAACTCTGGATTTATATGGTAAGAGTGTGACATTGCATTGCACGCTGTCTTAAAAAATGAAAACTTACTGACTGTGCCCTCTGTAATGCCTCATATGCAGAAGAACTTGAAATATAATCTCAGGAGTTTTGTGTTTTGTTGTGAAACCAATGTACTATATTCATTTTTGCGGTTCCTGAATTCAATGAAAAGTACCAACTCAGCACATTCTTGGGAGGAAGTTGGAAAAAAATATGTATTTTAGCAAGGCAGTGTAAGCCTGTCTCGATTGGTGCAATTTTTTGCTTTGTTTTTCTGCCAGAACCACCCTATCTTGAATCGGCCCCTAGGGCAGGTGACAGAGATGCCTCGAGCATCACCGTCAATTGGGATTCGTGGTCTCCGTCGCAAGGTCGTGGTGGTGGTGACGGGCCAGTCCTACGCTATGAGGTACATTACCGGCGCTGGAGTGATGCCGCAGATAACATGGTGTATGATTATGCACTCACGACCAGCAACGCAAGCACCTCATTGGTCGTCTCTGGACTCGAGGTTGACACCCAGTATGACTTTGTTATTATTGTCGTCAGGGAGGGGGAGGGCGGGGCTGGACCGCCCAGCCGTAAGGCAACCATCTCAACAACTTGTGCAGGTAAATATATCCCTTGCCTTCTGAGATTCTTTCAAAACCAGCAGAAATTTTGGACGAGCACCATGAGTAGGCCTAAAACCCCATGAAAATGCAAAACGTAGTAGGTGCCTTGAAGTGGAAAATTTAGGGGCCGTAGAAGGGCTCTTGGGAAAAATAGCTCGGGAACTTGTGTGTGTAAGTTGATGGAAACTTTTTATGGAAACGGCGTATGATAGATTTTCAGTTATCAATATTATTATGATTAGGTGTGCTCATACTGACTCGAATTTTTTAGGAGATGCTTTTCCTGGGGGCTGTCACACTCCTGCAGGAATTTTAACTTGAGTGTCTGTGCATATTCTAACAACTCCCTATGGGTCTAAGAGAAATGTACACTTAGATGGCATTGCAGTTACGTCTTGTAATTCTGGGCACCAGATTAGTCTGTATACTCATTATACCCAGCAAGAAATGAGACCGAGGGGTATCCCTATACACATTCCAGACTATTGTTACTTAACACATCCCCCAAGATGTCTGAAA